CACTTCAGCCACGGTCATACAGCCCTCCATATCCTGTTTGTTGGCAAGCACGACGAGTATCGCGCCGGCGAGCTCCTCCTCGCGCAGCATGTACAGCAGCTCATCTTTCGAAATGCCTATGCGATCACGGTCCGCCGAATCGACCACATAAATAATGGCATCTGTATTGCTATAATAACAACGCCAATAAGGTCTGCAATAAAAAGAAAACAGATGTTTCCATAAATTTGTCTAGAACGAATTTGTTTCATATTATATATTAAATAATCAATCACCTAATACTTGTTTGTCCTCCCAAGTCCCAGACCTGGAACTTAAGGTTTTTGTATGTGACCTGCTCCACGTTGAAGCCGATTGTGGGTATCGTTGTGACCACCTCACCGACCTGTAGCCTGTATAATATTGTTGTTTTTCCGGCGCCATCAAGGCCCAATATTAAAATACGCATCTCCCGGGAACCAAGCAGACCGCGAAAATAGCTAAGCACCCCACCTGCAATACAAGAATATATGTAAGAAAAAAAATTTATAGGTGGTGACTTTAATGACAGGCGACAGACGAGATAAACGAGAATCATACATATATATATGTATATAGATGTTCAGCCATGCTACCGTTGAAGGGGATCACCTACCCATGATTAAAGCTCGATTGCAGCGTACTAAGTGCCTCTAAATGCTTAAGTATTAATAATAACTAACTAATTATGTTATTTCGCTTTTCCAACGAAATTCTGCTCTTGTTTTCACTAGATGACAAAAAATTTGCCATTCACCGGTGACGTAAACATGACGTGTCATCGCATACGTTCAGCACAACAAAAATATTTGTATTACAAATAGTTAATTTGGGAATTTAATCTTGAAATGGTATTCAATTATATAAATTTTTCTAACTTTTTATGATATGATACGATCTTCTAAATGAATATGGAATTAAAATGTTCATGCTGAACGCAACCAGTCTTTGCCGGTGCATAGGGTTGCCACAGTTTGTATTTTGTTATACAGAGACGTCCGCCATTGTCGCGTCTATCGTCAAATAAAAAGTGTGAAAATCGAGAGACCTAAAACGCATTCAAATTGTGCAAATAGGTAAAATTTCGGTTTAAATATTGTGCAATATGCTGCCTGATAGTATGACGAGTGTCTGAAACGCTGTAGATAAGCGCCACTGATGCTTTTTATAAGAATTTTAAGCCATGTGCAAATAAAGTGTGTGTGCGGTGAGGGAGAGTGAGAGCAACAAAAGCCAAAAACCGATTACATATACAGTTTATATACATTTAAATGGACTTTGCGCAAAACGTAGAGCAATGAAATGCTAACATTTAAGCGAATATATCGTATTTTTATATTTGCACAACTTTTTAGCTAACATTTTAAGGCCAAGCCAGTGCAAAACGAACACACAGAAAACGCAGCGAAATGGCCTCGCCCTCGCCGGCGAATAGTCCGATGCCGCCACCACAAGCACCCAGCCCCATGGCGCCGCCATCTCAGAGTCCTGCGCCCTCGCCGCACAGTCCCTATCCGCACCAGCCGCCCCAAGGACCGCCTCAAGGGCCACCGCCCGGTGCACCCCACATGCAAGGGCCTCCACCGCCGGGTCATCCAGCTGGACCGTATGGCCATCCMATGCAGCACGGACCACCCGGTCAAGGTCCCCCAGTACATCATATGCCACCGCATCATCAGGGCATGAGTATGCGTAAAATTCTTTAGTAATTCTGTTGAGACATTTAATAACTGTTTACAATTATTTTCAGCACCTCATATGGGCATGCAAATGCCACCAACTGGACCGAATATGTCTCCACTTGGYTATCAAACGCACGGCATGCCGCCCAACGTAAGTGCACTATATAACWTTCTTAACTATGTGAATTTGTAGTCCTTGATATGATCCGCCTGCTCGATCAGTTGAATTGCCGCCTGGGCAAGCGACTCWGTGCCGGCAGCCACAAGATTTGGTTTCATTATATTGAATGCACTGCCATTTGTGTTATGTACCACGCCGCCAGCTTCACGTACAAGCAAAACGCCAGCAGCTACATCCCAAGGCTTTAGATAGTCCACGTGATAGACATCCAATGTGCCCTTTGCCACATACGCCAGAGACAATGCGGCGCTGGCCAAGCATCGCGTGCTATTGTTTAAGCAGACAATAGACAATATAATTATATATATGTATATTGTTGAATTGCATATATATTATATTATAGTTCTAAAGATAGCTTACCCAGCAGCCCCAGAGCCCAGTTTGTAGGCACGTTTCAGACACCGATCACGCAATTGAGGCACATTGACCAAAGTAATTTCAAGTCCAACCACTGCACTAGACATCTGAAATTTCAGTGATGCTTGACACAATCTTTCCATATAGTTTTCAAATGATTTATCATACCTCTGTTGCACCGGTCACTTGAATAGGTTCACCATTTAGAAAAGCGCCATGACCTTTCCTCGTCGAGTATAGCTCGTTGTCTACGGGATTATAGATAATGCCTATCACCAGCTCCTTATCAATGGCTAATGCTACCGAAATGCCGCAATGCGGCAGCCGGTGTATGTAGTTGGTGGTGCCATCGATGGGATCTATGATCCAAGTGGGCGCATCTGTCAGCTCTGGCAGCTTCTTTTTGCCCGCCAATGTTTCCTCGCCTATAAAAACGGATTCTGGGAAGGCTTTCAGCAGGTTCTCGGTTAGCTGTTCTTCAATTTGCTGATCGTAGACGGTGACAAAGTCGAAGAAGGATTCTTTCACCATGACCTCCTTTTTGCTTTTATTGTAGCCCTCCATAAATATGGGTCCACATTTGGTAACCARGTCTACAGCAACATCATAATACTCCTTAATCTTTGTTTCTYTCGTATTCTGGGCCATGTTGASAAGCTGTAAAAAAGCTAAAGCATATAAATAAGTAAATATTTGTCGGCCCATGCTAGAGCGATCGTAAAGTGCGACTTACGGTAGGATTTGCTGTCTATAGCACAACTAATCAGCYCCGTTAGTTTATCTACTGTTTTGATCAAAAAGCTTGCAGAGCTTTCGCTTTYAAGAAGCTYTGCAATGCAAACAGATAACAACTAAATAATTACTGAAGCTTTTTTTTCGTCAGAACTTTATTTGTTGAACGGGTTTTATAAATATATTTTGAGTAGATTCTAAGGGTCAGTGCCGCCAACAGAGCGCTCCTGATCTGCTTTGCGGAGCAGGTTCTCGATTTCTTTGCGCAATTTTTCGGTGCCGGCACAAATCAAATCTGGTTTCATAATATCGAAAGGTCCTCCGAAGGGATGTGTGACTACTCCGCCTGCCTCACTCACCAGCAATGAGCCAGCGGCACAATCCCAAGGATACATGTCCTCAATATAAAAGGCATCCAAATTGCCGGCAGCCACCATGCAGAGCTCATCCACGACACAGGAGTAGGCCAACAAGCTGACGAATATTTCAACTAGTTTAAAAGATATTAAAAGATATTACTCGCTTACCGTCTGGCATGCAATCCCACATGGTAGATGCGTTTGATATGCTTGTTAGCCACATTATGCACATGCAACAGGGACACCTCATAGGCCACATTGGCATCCCGCAAGCKCTCACAYTCGCTCACATGAATGGGCTTGCCATTGCAGAAGGCGCCTTGACCCAGTTTCGCTGTATAGAGCTTGCCCTGGGCTGGATTATTCACAACTCCCAGCACGATTTGCTTATTGATTGCCAGCCCGATCGAGACACAAACGTGTGGGATTTGTTTAATGAAATTGGAGGTGCCGTCAATGGGATCGATGATCCAAGTGGGCGCATCTGTCAGCTCTTTAGAGACATTATTATTCTTGGCYGTGTCCTCTTCGCCAATGAACTTGTGATACGGGTATTTGGCTAAGATTTCGCCCATCAGAAACTCCTCGATCTTGTTGTCATAGTCGGTGACCACATCATAGAATGCGCCCTTAATGTCCACATTCTTCTCCGTGCGATTGTAGCCCTCGATCAGTATATCGCCTGCGCGCTGCGCCAGCGGGTAAATGAAGTTATACAATTCCTCAATTTCCGTTAACATATTGACAGCTGACGAATGTTTGYAAAGACCTGTTATAGAGCTTGCGATATGCGTTGTTACTGCACGGACATCAGCTCCCGACTGAAACCGGACAATGATGCTCGCATCGCTTTTGCTTTAGCACTCACTCGCATTTGTTTACTTTGAGTTTTTCTTGATGCGCTCAATAAAAAACTCTTGCATATGATGACGGAGAGTTCCACAGATGAACTGGCAATTGAAATCTGTTGACTGCGTTTTATCGCATCTGACAACTACAAATAGACATTTCATTATCTTTAACATACAATGTCTCTATATTGTACAGGGTAGTCGAACTATTCGCGGAATGAAACTGGTTTCAATTGACGGATACTATATATTATATATGTAAATAAATTTACAATTCTTTTATACTAGATAAGACTATCTATTGCGACCTTTGCCCAACCAAGCTTGAGTTTATTTAACTAATTATTTTTCTCAAGACAKTCACTAAATAGTCTYATTTCGATTTCGYYATTAATCAATTTATATATTTTTATATCAGGATTATTTTTATTTCAGTTTTTACAATTGCTTGAATGCACCTGCATTAATTTGTTCTTTGAATGCATCTTAGAATGTTCACATGAATAA